TGAAAAATGTAAGGGGGTCTGAATACTTTCCGTACCCACTGTATATATATATATATATATATATATATTTGAATAGTTCATTTGCAAAAACCGATAAACGCCACTTAAAAAGAAGAGCTGATTGCCGTACATTATTCTCCACATATAGCGCAATCTGAACCCTAAGCACGCTTTGTCAAAAAAAACGGTTTTGTCCATTTTCAAGGCATCGCGATTTCACGTTTTACTGCACAAGCCAATATTTTCAATATTTACAGAAATATTTACAATTTCAAAAGCGGCACAACCTTTTTCAAATGTTTCTGGTTATCATAAATCAGAATTTTAGAACGATATAATGCAATAACATTTTTACTGTATTTATGATAGAATAAATGCATTACTTTTATAAAATCTTACAGACCCAAAACCTTTTAACCTATAAAAAAAAACTGAGCGCTGCAAATCATTATAATATATTATTACATAAATAAATGGTGTTGAAACAAATTTAATTAAAAAATTGCTGATAAATTTCATAAATAATCACAATGAAAAGTTGAAGTAAACATGAAATTTTGAAGTATAAAGACTAAAATAGTATTTTCTTTTGTTTTTCTTTGTTTTAGTTACTTCAAAATCATTTTGTACATTGTATGTATATGTATATGTGTGTGTGTATATATATATATATACAGTGGGTACGGAAAGTATTCAGACCCCCTTAAATTTTTCACTCTTTGTTATATTGCAGCCATTTGCTAAAATCATTTAAGTTAATTTTTTTCCTCATTAATGTACTATATATATATATATATATATATACAACAAAATATTGGTGTGGTGTTAAAATGCTATTTATTGACAATATTACTATAATCATAAATCTAAAAGTACTAAAATAGTATTTTCTTGTAAAAAAAAATCTTTGTTTTATTTACAACTTTATATAGATATAGACATACTACAAAAAATTGGTGTGGCGTATCTATATCTATACAAAGTTGTAAAAAAAAAACAGATTATTTATGCTTTTAACTTTATATAAATATAGACGTACTATAAAATATTGGTGTGGTGTATGCTATTTATAGACTAAATAAATATAATTTCTATACCTGTAGGGTTTTATTATTTCTTAATTGAATCTTTAGCTTTCTGTGACTAACTTCTCATTTCTACAAGGTTACTTTACAGAGGCATGTTAAATGCGTATATCTTTCTATGACTAACTTCTCATTTCTACAAGGCAACTTACAGTAGAGCTACAGTCAGTGCTCACCTTGGAGAAATCTGCTGGAAAGTGCCTCATTCAAGGGCACAATGGTGATAGAGATCTCTCAATATCGCTCCAATTCACAAGTTGACCCCACCGAAGTCACCTCCCCTTAACCACAAAAGACTTTCACCACCCTTTTCAGTAGCTGAAGCTATCAATCATCCCACACCATTCTCCGAGGCAGTCTTTTTAACACGGATCATTCTTTTTAACTTGACTGAAATTAAATAGTCTAGGCATGTGTCTGCCATATCATGTGAGAGCAGCTTTTGATTGAACACATTTATATGCACTGAACAACACTGAA